TGAATTTATATGTACATGTATGGCTTATCCATAATATCAGTCTACTGTATTACACATAAAAAGGGGTGACCTAAGAGCACAAAAACAAACAGACTGAGAGTCTTGTATAGAAGGGCTTCAATGAATATGAATCAATGGTCAAAAAATGTTACTCAATAAATGAAGAATCAATTTGTGTACAAGAAACACAAGATACTACCAAGCATACACAATGCATATTACAATTTAATTTTTGATCACTACCAGCACTAATACTTACTTTAGACACAACATCAGTTCTAGCTCCATTAGTTAATAGAATATCAACAGCTTCAATACTACCACTCTTAACAGCATTAAACAATGGAGTACAGTTGTCCTATACATACAACACAAAATGATACAATTGGAATTAAATGATCATTATATTACTTTATCCACAGCATTTATTATATTGGCATTTCCTTTAGTTATTAATAATATAATAATATTAGCATTACCAGTTTCACTAGCACAGTGTAATGGAGTGCCATAATACTAAATAATAAAATAAATTAAAATAAATTCATTTACTAGGACACAAAATCGAGGGTACAATATTTAATTGATGGGTGCGTGGGTTAATGAATATAAATCAATGGTCAAAGGATGTCACCTCTTAGTGACTCAATAAATGAAAAATCATTTTGTGTGCAAGGAACACATAGGTAATCGCTACCAAGCACACACAATGCATGTTACATTTTAAAATTTGATCATCCATGAAATGCTGGCACTAATACTTACTTTAGACACAACATCAGTTCTAGCTCCATTAGTTAATAGAATATTGACAGCTTCAATACTACCACTCTTAACAGCTTTAAACAATGAAGTTCTGTTCCACTATACATGTAAATATAACACAAATGATACAATTAGAAATGATTGTGCAATAAGCTTTACCGTATCCACAGCATTCACATCAGCCTTTCCTTTAGTTAATAATAATTTGATAATATAAGCATTACCAGTTTCACTAGCACAGTGTAATGGAGTACCATAATGCTATATAAATAATAAAACAAATTAAAATAAAATAAGTTACTATGTGGCACAAAATCAAGGGTACAATATTTCATTGATGAGTGTGCAGGTTAATGAATATTAACCAATGGTCAAAGGATGTCACCACTTAGTGGCTCAATAAATGAAGAATCATTTTGTGTACAAGAAACACATAGTTGCTACCAAGCACACACAACGTATGTCACTGATTTTAAAATTTGATCACCTATGAAATGCTGGCAATAATACTTACATTATCCACAACATCAGTTCTAGCTCCATTAGTTAATAGAATATCAACAGCTTCAATACTACCACTCTTAACAGCATTAAACAATGGAGTACTGCTCCACTATAAATACAACACAAAATGACACAATTGGAAATGATAATGCATAAACTTTACCTCATGCACAGCATTCAAATCAGCAATTCCTTCAGTTATTAATAATTTGATAATATTAGCATTACCAGTTTGACTAGCACAGTGTAACGGAGTACCATAATACTATATATATTTGATACAATTATTTTATGATTACATTAATAAAACAGATACTTATAATTTCTAAAAGTGAAACTATAGCATCTCAAAATTGTTGAGAAATTTTAAACAGAAAATACATTAATTTAATTGTGTGTACTAGTTTGATGCATGAATTAATAAGTTCACTATTGTGCATGCTGTGTGTGCTAACTAAACTTGAAAATTACTAAAATTACATGTACATGTACAATAACATGTAGCAAGTACATGTAAGTACTAATAATGTGTGTAGGTGTTGTGGGCACAAATATATGTATACCATATGAGATTTCTGTAGGGTGTCAATTTTTGCCAATTTCGCAGCTCATTTACATATCCATGAAATTTTATTTACACATAAAAAACTAATAAACAGACCACGCAGAGTTTGAAATACTCTTTTTAAGCCAGTGCAGAAGCCAGAATCTCTGCCTGTGCTCCTTTTTCTGCTACAAGCCATGTATCAGAAGCTACATGTACATGTACATGTATTACTGTATATCTAAGCAAAAGAAGCTTACTAACTGCCAGTTATGAATATTTGCACCCACAAATATTAGCTTTCTAAGTAAAATTTGGAGAAAATTAAAAATATTGGACCTTCAAATTACCAACCACATACAATTAATGTATAGCTTGATGCCAGTAACCCTCTCATAAAGCTAACATGTTCAACCTTTTTCAGAAATAGTCTAACCTCATATGTACATGTACATACACTGGCTACTTCTTATAACTCACAGTATCAAAATCAATATTAGGATCAGCTCCTTTTTCAAGAAGCATTTCAACAATTCCAATATTATTCTTCTTAATGGCTTTAATAAGAGCAGGATTGCTACCAGATGGATACTATTGTAACAAATTAGAATATCACAGTACATACAGCTACATAGTACATACCTCGGTAGCATTAGGATCAGCTCCTTTCTCCAGTAACAATTTAACATTATCAGTATTATCTTTTTCAATGGCTCTAATAAGAGCAGGAGATCCACCAGATGGATACTATTATGCATATAACTAATAAAAATACTGCAGTATACATGTAGCTACAAACCTTAGTAACGTTAGGATCAGTTCCTTTCTCCAGTAACAATTTAAAAATATCAGTATTACCTTTTTCAATGGCTATAATAAGGGCAGGAAAGCCACCAGATGGATACTATTATAACAAATTTAAAATTACATACAAACATTTAAATACAGCTACAAACCTTAGTTACATTAGGATCAGCTCCTTTTTCCAGTAACAATTTAACAATATCAGTATTATCTATTTCAATGGCTATAATAAGAGCAGGAGAGCCACCAGATGTATACTATTATAACAAATTAGAATACCAC